TCTGCACTTTAGTGCTGCACCTCAGGCCGCACAGGTAACTAGCACTAAAAGGCTGCAGCAAGGATGCTGTGCACTCAGGGACACAAACCCAGCTCATGGACTGGACCAGGCTGCATCTCTAAGCTAGCAAAAACAGAAATTGCTGGAGAAAGTCAGCAGGCATGGCAGCACCTGCGGAGAGAAAGCAGAGTTAATATTTCAGGTCTAATGACTTTTCTTCAGAACTGATGGTAGCAAGAAAATGGTGATTATGTATGCTGAAATCAGGGGGTGGGTTAAAGAAGTAAGCAATAGTTAGAGATGGAGCCAAGAGGGAGAGAAAGACAGGCAGACAAAATGATGGCTATTGATAAGCCAGGCAGATGGAAAAGCTGCTAATGGGGACCATAACTAGGTGAGAATGGATTGGCTGTGCTGAACGCACCCTATATGATAACAGTGCCCGGGATGTGCGGGTTGTAATGATTTAGAAGAAGGTGTTCAGGTCGATGGAACTCAATAGTGAGTCCTGAAGACTGCAGGGCCCACTATCAGAAAATGAGATGCTGATCTTCCAGCTTTCGCTGAGCTTCGCCGGAGCAGTGCAGCAAGCGTGAGATAGTGATATTGGCCAGGGAACACTGTTGTGTTGAAGTGGCAGTCACCTGGAAGCTCAGGGTCATTTCTGCAGACAGAAAGTAGGTTTACTGCAAAACGGTTGCCCAGTCTGTGTTTCATCTCCCCAACGTACAGCAGACCATACTGTGAGCAGCAACTGTCGTAGACTAAATTGAGTAGTGCAGGAAAATCGCTGCTTCAGATGGAAGGTGTGTCTGGGGCCTTGGATAGTGAGGAGGGAGGAAGTAAACAGGCAGGTACACCTTCTACAATTGCAGGGGAAGGTGCTGTGGGAGTGTTGGGAGGTGTTGGGAGTGGAGGAGAAGTGGACCAGGTTATTCCAGAGGGAACCAGTCCATGCAGAAGGTTGACAAAGGAGGGAGGGGAATTCGTGTCTGGTGGCAGTACCCTGCTAGAGGTGGCGGAATGGTGGCTAACAATTCTTTGCATATCGATGCTGGTGGGATGGTAAGTGTGGACCAGGGGAACCCTCCTGTGGGAGGGAAGGAGAAGCAGTGAGGGCAGAAGTGCAGGAGATTGGTCAAACACGGCTAAGGGCCCTGTCGATCACAGTAGCGGGAAATCCTTAGTTGAGGAGAAAAAAATAGACATTTCTGAGACCCCCATTGCAGAAGGTAGCATCATCAGAAAAGATGCAGCAGAGACTGAGAAACTGAGAAAATGGAATGGTGTCTTTACAGGAAGCAGGATGTGAGGATTTACGGTCAAGGTAACTGTGGGAATCAGTGGGTTTTTAGTGGATATTGGTGGCCATCCTGATCCCAGAAATGGAAGCAGAGATGTTGAGGGAAGGAAGGGAGGAGTCAGAGATAGAACAGGTGAAGATGAGAGCGGGGGGAAATTGGAAGTGAAATAGATAAACTTTTCCAGTTCTCGGTGAGAGAAGGAAGAAGCACCGATGCATCGATGTATTGCAGAAAGAGCTGTGAGGATAGATCCAAGTTAGATTGGAGCAAGGAATGTTCCACGTACCCCAGAAACAGACAGGCATAACTGGGGCCCATGTAGGTACCTATACTTCTGATCTGAAGAAAGTGAGAAGAGTTAAAGGAGAATTGCTCCAAGCAAGGACGAGTTTGGCCTGGTGGTGGATGGGGACAGTTCAGGCCATTTTTCCAGGAAGAAGTGGAGAACCCTGAGACCTTCCTGATGGGAGATGGATATGTAAAGGGATTGCCCGCCCATGGTAAAAAGGAGGTGGTTGGTGCCAATGAACTGGAAATTCTGAAACTGCCATAAAGTGTCAGAAGAATCACGGATAAAAGTGGGAAGGGACTGGACAAGAAGAGAAAAAAAAATCATCTCTGGGCTGTTCACTTGCTGTCATAGTGTTCAATACCTCTGAGCTTACTTGGACGCTCACAGCATTCCTGTCTTGTCTTGCGTTTTGCACTTTGCCCCATCAACCAGAGATACCAAGCTCTCACTCCTGCTGTATTGCTGTGCAGATTAATACTAGAAAGCTCATCATAGTTGTCAGCAATCCCCAGTCAAGTAAAAGGGGATAGTTTTCACTCCAGGATGCCTTGGCACAGTAAGCCAAGAGCAGCCTCTAATACCACTCCAGGAGCTTGGACACAGTCAGCCAGCCATTCAGGGTGATTGCCCTGACAAGCAACAGTCCCTCATCGACTAGACTGAGAACTAGCCCACACTTATGTTCCACAAGGCCATTTGGATGAATAACCTTGTGGTGTGTTTGATGTGCAGGCGGCTGACACATGCCCTGGGTGTGAGATTGCCCTCACAGTGTGCTGTACAGCAACGCATCCCCAATTCAGCCCAGATAGATTCCTGCTAACAAGTATAACAAACAGCCCTGAGATGCAGCTTGATCCAATCCATGAATTAGGCGCCTGCGTCTGTGTGCAAAGTGTCCTTACAGCTGCTTTTCAAAGCTGTTTGCCAGTGTGCCCTGCAATACAAGTCCCTGCTTCCCAAACATCTTGCAAGCGGATCGGAGAGGTGCCATGAAGATAGTGAGGGGTGTTCCAAGTGTTGGATGCCAGCCTGTCTGTGGATGAGAGTGTGTACAACTGGTGACTGCGGAAGGTGCCCTGAGATGTTTTTTGGTGCTGAGCGACATGAAGGCTTTCCGCACCCAGTATCAGGCTGAAGTCACCAGGTTCCCACTCTGACTTACATGTTGAGTATTCTCCGTGTCTAGCTTGTTTGGTGCATTTGGTAAGCTAGGAAGCTGAATATTAACCAGGTCTACTTTGGTGTTGATAAGGTGTTTAACAAGCTATCATGCCCCTTAGTTGGCAACTCACCAGTGAGAAACTCACATGCATAAAAATGCAGCAAGTTGCTCCTGACGTTGAGCTAGGCCTTTCTGGACTTCTCATTCGATTCTGCCACAAATCTCAACATAGCTCATGTTCATTTAGACCCTGGTAAGATTCTGCCCACTATACTTGCATTGGAGGCAGATCAGTAGGCTGATTCACAGGATGAATGACTTGTGTTTAAAGGCCAGATTGAGCAAGTTGGATCTATTCTAATTGGAGTTTAGTAGACGAAGGTGAGTTTACAGAAGCATACTAAATTCTAAAAGGACTTGAAAGAGTAATTGCTGAGAGGTTGTTTCCCCTTGTGGGGGTATCTAAAACTAATCAGCACTGTTTAAACTTAAGGGTGTGCCATTTATGAGAAATGAAAAGACTCCTTCTTCTGTGGGGATTGTTAATCTTTGTGCAGTTCATTACCCTCAAGAGCATTGGGATGTGGACCATTGTCTAAATCAGCCTTTTAATAGTCAGATTTTGACTTTGTTGTTAAACAAAGATTATGGGTTAGGCAGAAATGCAGAGATAAGTCATAATAAGATCATTATTGATCATGTTGAATGATGGGGCAGGTTCAAGAAGTTAAATGACTTGCTCCAGCTCTTTTGACCTTGTGTTCTTGTGCATCAAACCATTAGAGATTGGTTGATTGAATGTGTAATTGGCAGCAGTGATTCCAAAATTCATTGTACTGGTGATCATCATTGTGATGGCAGATAAAGAGCCAAATTTTCTGAGGAGGGGCAATCTCAGGCACAATTTTTTATGAAAGGAGAGAGTTTTGTATTTCTGACAGGAGATTCTAATCAGGACTCAGGAATGGGAACTGTACTTCGATACTGACAGTTTTCTCAATGTGCTGAACTGACAGGTGAAGGCAAACAATGTTCAGTTTGTGTTTACAGCAGTCAGCTGCCATATTCTGAAATGTAAAAATCCAGAATCACATACACCCACTTTGGCAGCTGCTGCCAAATTATGTGTGCATTAGGTAAATGTGAGGGTAGGGTGCCAGTTGGCTAGGCTTTCAGGGTGCCAGTTGAGTAAGGTGTCAGCTGGGTAGGGTGTGATGAAGTGTTGTAATGTTTAGTGTAGGTCAGGGTGGATGGAACCAATGAGTCTAGCAAGGGATAATGGAAGGCGGGGTGATGAAGTACAGGGTCAGCAGTGGGGAGGCGGTTTCTGGGTAGGGGAGGCAAAGGCAGATTAGTCTGGATTGGAGGATGGGGAGGTTGGTGCCAGTATAGAGGAAGGAGGTTTACCTTTCAGGGAGTGAAGGAGAATCAGGTCTGGAGCAGGTGAAGGGTTGTAGAGGGGATGGTGGTTAGCTCCTGGAGGGTTGTGTATGGCTGCAAGGGAAGGGGAGGATCAGCTGCAATGGCTAGGAAGGGCTTACAATTCAGCAGTGGGGAATTGGGTTTGGATCTGGAATGGTTGAAGGGGAAGCTGGTCCCAAGCAGGACAGGCTGATCCTGGCTGGTTCTGTGGTTGTAAGTGGAGTGGGAGAGATGCAGTTGGGGATGTCTGAAGTAAATATGGGATCAATTGAATAGTTACACAGGAGTTAGACTGTGTATTTAATATTCTAATTTTACATAATAGCTATTCACTTATTTTTACCAACTCTTCAAATTCTCAAATTTGTAAATGAAACATTCAGAGGGTTCCAGGCATAGAGAAGTTGCCTGGAGGAATCTTCAACTTCACCAGCAATTTCTTCACAGTCTGCTGCATTGGGGATTCTGCAGGGTCCCCATGTGCAACTTCAATCTACACTGAAATAATGACTGTCTATCTGGGTGTCAGAATATCTGGGCCATAGTTTTAAAATGCCTGAGATAATTCAAATTTGAGAAGATCCTAATTTTGCCTGTTGCAGCACTGTGGCCCATTGTGGAAAGGCATAGGCTTGAAGTTTACAATCACATTGCTACACTTTAGATGTAGCTTTTCTATTTTCTATCAATAGTAGTCAATCTCATTAAAGACTGCACGCAAAGTACTAACTTAAGGAACATTACCAATTTATCTCTGATATTTCCAGAATGGCTTAGCACAGAAGCACTAATGAGCTTATTTTTCTATTTTGTTTAGGAGACTGCTGAGAAGGCTGAGAAAGTGAACATAAAGGAGACCTAAAAATATATGGTGTGGAGAGGAACTAAGTTGATCTTTATTTTCTAACCTGTTTCTCTCCATTCAGCCAACCAGTAAACATTCGGAACTTCAACAATCACTACTAAATATATATATACATTATAAACAGTATTTTTTGGGCTTTGTGTTGGGGACAAAGGCAGTCCTTGGTTTTATTCAAACAGACTTCTCATAATGTACTGTATTGTTAAACAAGAGTTTAGTAAAAGAGCTAGCCGTGAATGGTAAACTGTTGGTTCGATTGTAACAGCTGCATAGTCCTGTGATGGAAGATGGTGGAAATCATATCCTGCTCCTTTTTAGTTAACCCATGTTCCTCTGTATTACAGACAGAACCACGGGTGGAGCTTCATTGGACTGCACCACCTAGACCAGAATTCTAGAGATTAAAGCTTCCCAGTAAGTCCTAAAATTCTGGGTGCAACTTTGAATAGAGTGATGGCATAAAAATTACTGAAAAAATTGAATTTTCATTAACTCACATAGAATTGTGACCTTTGAACTGGCAGAGTTCAGTGATGTGGGTCCATAGTTGCTGTTTTGTTTCTTAATGCTCATTGATAACCAAAGCTTTCAATTTACCTAGAATTCTGGTGCCAAAACAACTTTGATAGAAATAAGTTAATACAAGAACACTTTGAAAATTTAAAGTCATTTCTTTTCTTGTAAATAAATATCTAAAATATTAATTAGTGATTACATTGTCCTTAATACTCATTTATAAAGTGATTCAAAAAATCTGTTTGGCTGTTGCTGTGTCACACTTTGGATCTCTTCAGTTTAGATACTCAAGTCTTATTGATTTTGGGTACCTAAGTTACTAAAATATAGTGGGATAGGAATTCCATCGACCTAACAATTGCACCACTACAATTAAAGGAAAACACCATGAATGCTGGAAATCAGAAATGAAAACAGAAGGTGCTGGAGAAACTCCACAGGTCTGGCAGTATCGGTAAAGAGAGAAACAGAATTAACATTTCTAGTCCAAGATGATTTCTTTGGACCACTGGACTCACTTTTAAACTCTGTTTCTCACTCCACAGATGCTGCTCAACCTGCTGAGTTTCTCCAGCATTTTGTTTTATTTCTTACTGAACCACCACCTCAGACACATTTCTTCGGTTCAGTCTTACTTTGGGGAGTTTCTGTCTGTGCTTAGGACACATTGAAAAGGAAGTGTGGAAAAGCCTGCGATTGGCAGGTTCTTCTCCTATCGCAGCAGCTTATACAGACCATCTCCATTTAATACCAGGGAGAAAAAAACTGTTGCCTTCTGCTAGCTCTGGCACAAGGTGGTACCGATCAGTCGCCCATTTGATGGGTATCTCTTAATCTCTTAAGCCTGCCAGAGCAAAGCTGGATTGCAGTAACATTTTGGCATTAAGAATTGGGATTGCCCTACCAATAATGATATAAAATATAATGTATGAGGCCACTTTTTCACTCCTGTTCTTTTTTGGTTTCCCAACCACATCTTTGAAATAAGTTCTAACCAACCTGTTCCAACATGTTCTTACAAACCACTGGAACAGGTGACACTTGAACGGGGGCTCTTGGCTCAGAGGTACAGACACTACCACTGTGCAACAAGAGCCCTTCAATCACATAATTTAGGCCATGCAGTTTAATATCCAGCAATGTAACATTGGAAGATCACTATGAGGGTTGACAGGGATAGCAGCCCAATGGCCCCTGCTGATTTTTTCCATACGCTACTTGTCTGGTCTATGATAGAAGATATAATTAGATTTCTCCCCATGATCTGTAGGTAATGTAGAGGATTATGGAAAACTTACCTGTAGCCATCTTCCGCAAAGGTTTACAAGCACTCTATTGACATTTCACAATGGTGCTACATTCTTTCTTTCCTTTATATTATATTATATTATATATAAATATACTGTATACACTTTATGTATTATTTGCAGGTTTTTTTTGTAACCTCTGGAGTGTCCAAAAGTTTATTTAAACTCTTGTATATTTCAAAGAACATCCACAATGTTGAACATATAAAAAAAGTGCCTAAGGACAGATTGGAAATTGGTGGTGTTAGTCTACAATCAGCATGTTAGGTTGTCAAATTGCCATTGTTCCAATAAAAAGGAGGAAACTGCCTTTTACCAGTATGCTGTAGAATGCTGAGATCCACTTGAAATACTTGTGAAAAAATCTGAAAAAGGAAAACTGTACGCCAGGCAGAGTTGTTGTTCTAGAAATGCTTCCTCTGCATTTGCAAGAGTCTATTCAACACTGTAGCATGATACTGTAAATTGATTATTACAATAGTAAATAATCTCAAGTATTCACAACACCATTGCTGGGAAACAGTGACATTCTCAATACCATATGAATCAGCATCATTCCAGGTCTAAATTGAGGATCATTTCAACAACAAAAAAAAATTATTCTTACTGAGATTCTGTTCTATTATCAAGAGTTATACATTCCCATCCAAAGAGTAATTTGCAATGAGTATGTTAGTGGCTTGATCTCCAAGTGGACCTTGTATAGACTGATAATGGTGAGGGAAGCACAGGCATTGCTAAAGGGAAGCTAACAGTGCATCTTTGTAGCTCTCAGACTTTTCCAATACTTGCTCAACCTTGGTTTTTCAAGATAATACGAGATGTAAGGAGATCTGAATCAAATGGAGTTTCACGAACTTTTGAGGTGACCCCAAGGATGCAATTTGCTGTTTTCAATAATCAGAAGGATGCTTAAAGTGTGAATATCATAGTTTCAGGAATGGGGTTATAAGCAACGATTAAGAGATGGGAACAAACACTTTGAAGTGTCTTTGGTCTATTTTTCGAAAGGTAAGATCAGCTATTGTATTCATGTATTACCCTATTAAAGCAAATGATTTGATTTGCTTTTGAAAAAAAAGCACTATTCATTGTGTTAGTTTGCTTTTCACCTTACTTTCTCTGGAACTCGATTGCAGGCTGTGGTTAATGAATCTGATTGAATATTATCAAGACAAACCCACCCCACACCCATAGGAAACAAAGATCATCGCTGAAAAATAGATATTTGTTCAGTTTTTGCATCCTGACATGTCAAAATTTTATGAAGTGTCAACTTGCATATGTTTGCACCGTATATTTCTTACTTTCAATGTTGTTAATTGTTGTAGGCTCGAAGGCTATAATTCTGTGACCTTGTTTTGAACTACTATCTTATTGAACCATAAGAAGAACCATGTATACTCCATGACCAAACTATCATAAGAGGATTTCATGTATTGTAGTTTCCTTTTGTACTTCTCTGGCATTTTTGGGTTTAATGTCAATAAATTTTCTTACAAAAATGTTTTTAAAAATCATGGTTTCTGTTATTGATAACCAAAATTACACTCTTTTCTGTTTTAATTTTATCATTCATATACAATATGTTTATGGTAGGAATTTGTCTCAGGCGGTGGCCATTATTAGATCCGCTGCCTGTTATATAATTAAACTTCAGGCATTGAGTACAACAAATACCACCTGAAAACAAATTTCTACCCCTTAGACTCCATTTTACCAGATGAGTATGATACAACTAGCTAAATTGATTAAAAACTAGCATATTGTATCCTTCTGTCAATTACTCCACAAGCTTTGTATCATATGTTCAAGAGAGTAAAATCTGTTTTGTGTCTTGGATAAGCTTGTCTTTTTTTCCAACCTTGACATTTGGATTATTGCCTATGGAGTATAATATAGACTCCTGTGGCTGTGGTGTTACAGAAGATTCCACATAACACAACTCAGACAAGTAATGAAACCTGACAAATGGCCACGTAGAGATACCAAATTAATCATTAACACAGCATGATGTGTACAGAATTGCCTTTGAAGAAATGAAAGAGGGAGAAAACTAAGTTCTGGAGTTACTAAAGTCCATTTTGAGACCTGAGTGTCTAAAAAAAGCTAGGGTTAGAAACTAATACCAAATAAATTTTGTGGGGTCATTCCTGTGCTCACGACTATATTGGCTCATGATCTGTCAATGCATAACTTTAAAACTTCCGTCCTAATTTTCCAGTCCCTGCTGCATTGCTACAATGTACCTTGAAGGATCCTAGCTATGTATGCCTTATGAGAGATATTACAGTCCTATCCAGGGATATACTCCCTCCCTTATCACTGTTACTGGTGCACTGTGTCATGAACTGGAAAATTTCACTGACTTTGTTTTCAGTTTCCACCCTTCCGTTAACTTCACCTGGTCCATCTTTGACTTTTACCTTCCACTTCCTTGACTTCTGTGTATTCATTTCTGAAAAAATTGTCTGTCAACTAACATTACATACAAATGCACTGACTCTCGCAGCTACCTTGGCTACAATTCCTTACACCCTGTATCCTGTAAAAACTCCACTCCTTTTTCCCAGTTTGTCCATCTCTGTACATCTCTTCTGGTAATGCAGATAGCAAGAACTGCAGATGCTGGAGTCAGAGTCAATACAGTGTGGAGCTGGAGGAACACAGCCTGACCTGCTGTGTTCCTCCAGCTCTTCTGGTAATGCACCCTTTCACATCAGTCCTTCTGATACTTTCTCCTTAACTGAAGATTCACACAGTCTGCTCTTGTCCTTTTATCTCCCTCTTAGAACCATGAACAGTTGACTTGTCACTTCAGTGGGTCATAATCTGCCATTTCTGCCAGCTGCAGTGTGTTACCACTACCAACACATCTTCCTCTGCTCTATTTAACATTGTTTCCTCCATGACACTCCTCAGTCACCCCATTATACCCGACAACTGCTGTCTATCTCAAGTGCAGGACATGCAACACTTTCCCTTTTTCCTCATCCCTCTCACCCAAGGCCCAAAATAATCCTTCCAAGTGTAACAGCAATTTATTTGTATGTTTAACTTATTCATTGGTCACGATGTGGTCTCCTGAACACTGGAGAGGCCAAACATAAACTGGGTGATTGCTTTGCAGCATTCAGTTTGCAAGTATGACCCCAAACTTGCTGTCATTATTCATTTTAATTCTCCATTTTGTTCCCAATCTGACATTTCAACCCATAGCAAGCAACAGTGTTCCAATGAGACTCAAGAACCAGCACCTTTATCTTTCCTTTTGGCACACTATACAGTTCTGGACTTTATAGTCAACAACTTTAAATGATAACACATTAACCAAGATAGAGGTTACTTTTAAAGACATTTTCAATCAACCTGTTCAGTGATACTATTACACGCTGTTGAACCATGTAGGATATGAACCTGGGCCCACCTGACTCAGAAGTAGGGATACTATCAGTGCGCCACAAGAGTCTGTGTTTTTTTTCCAATGCTAGCTTGTTGCTTTCATTAGCCTGTGATGATGTATTCATTCATATAGCTGCTTTATAGCCATTCACATCTCAGCTAGACACAGCATTTATCTCTTCACAGTACCATTACCGTTTGACTTCTGCATCATAAAATATTTTGTTAATTAATATTTCCTGCACTCCATCCTACTTCAGAGATTTTCATTCTTCCTATGCCACCCCCACTCCCTGAACAATTCTGTCTTCCCTCTGTTCTGACAAGAAGATCACTGGGTCATTGGCTTGACATGTTAACTCAGTATCTCTCGTGAGGTGCTCCCTGACCTCCTGAGTATTCCAGCATCGTTTCTTATTTCTGATTTTAGCTTCCAAGATTTTTTTACATTTTGTGTGCACACTGAGGTACTTGGTGCATTGACAGGTCTGTCAGGCAGCCTCATGTTACTCTCTAGACTTTATAAGGCAAAGGCACAGCACAGATCTTGGAGGCTATGCTTTCCATTGTGAAACTACTGGCCAATGCCAAGACTGCAGGGTGGTTCCAGCATGATAAGATCCCCAGTGGTCCTTGTCCCTGCTTTCTATGCAGCACAGGCTGAAAGCCGCAATCTCAGTGCTGCAGACTGGGACAGACCAAGGTCATGAGATTCATGCTTGCAGGATTTTGGCTAAGAGGATGCTGTGATGGGATGTTCCAGATGAATGAGGATATGAGGAGTTGTGGAGCAATGGTGGGATGACACTTTAAGTGAACCAGTCTCACTAGTGCTCGTAGCACATACAGAGCGAAGTGGTCCAGAATGCCTGCTCTTGCTTCTTCTCATCTCCTCCTGCTAACGTGGCCTTTAGATGCCCTTTAGCAAGGCAATATTGAGGCTGTTAGTGGAGAAGACTGCCATAAATTTGGAGATAGGCTACGGTGAATATTGTATGGCTCAGTTCTGTGACCATCTACATGTGAATAGCAGGTGCCTTACATATTGCTCCTGACTGAGGTGGAGGTTCACGAAATGCTATCTGAAGACCATTGATGGATATTGCCTTCTGGCGAGAGCCTAGCTGCACTCTGGACATCTTCCCTTCCCTGCAGCCTCAGCTCCATTTCCCGGTCATATTACAGATTGCATAACTGTAGCAAGCATTCTGTGGGCAGATCAAAAATCTTCTCTGACTTGAGCCCAAATCTGGCAACACACACCAGCAAATCACCAAAATGCCTCCAGGAACAAAGTTACATCAAGGATACTTCACCTCCAAGTTGGATGACTCGCTCTGTGAATAACATTGATCAGGGAGTCCCTTGTCCATTCAGCACAAATGTTTAGCATAGACAGTTAAATGAATTGGCAAAGCATGTATTAAATCATGACAGACTGTTTAATACTGCAGTATGTCCACAGACATTCCGTTACCCACAAAGCACATTGGCACTAGTACCTGTCTGGGAATAAGTCATACCTGAGCTAACGGGTAATGCTATGTCCATTATTTTGAGGTCCTTCAGCTTGCTTTGTGCAAGTGAACTTTGCAACCAATGTTTTTAGTGTGAAGCTTTCACCAGAATTTTGATGTCCTAATGTATGGTCTACTATTAACTTGTCTGCTGTTCTCTCCATGTGGTCGGAGATGTCAATTAAGCTACTAAGCTTTTTCTGTTTTACTTCAGCTTTCCAGTATCTGCACTAGTTTACTTTTTATCTTCACTTGTAGGTAAACTGTTAAAAAGGATTTGTTGTTATCAGGGCCAAGTCAATGTAATAATTCATCTGAGACTGCTCCATTTTAAAATGAGGAGGTTGTATTTACAGTTTAGCATTTGATAAAAGGATCAGAACAGCCAAACATGCTTAAAAACTCTGGGAGCCATACAAAAATAGAGCAAACAACAAAAAGAATAGAATGGAAGGCTTATTTATAATTTTCATCGTGACTAGTTTGTTCCTTATAAATTCAAATTGCAGGATCCCACCAGATGACAGGGATACCCAAGTCTCCCAGTTGTTAACTATTTGAAAACAGTCTATATGTCTAAACCACTTGGAAGAAAGAGTCTGCAATTCTGAAGCAACTTCTGTAGGATGTTCCCAAACACTTTACAGTCAAGTGTAGCAATTATGGTAATGCAGGCAATGCAGCTGTCATTTCACTCACAGACTCACACACACATACACACACACACACACACACACAGAGCTGAGTTTTATGGGGCCTGCAAAAGTGGGTTAGAAGAGGCGGTGGTGCAAAATTGGGAGGGAGGGCTGAAGTGGAATGCCCATTACCTCTGCACCACCATGGCTCTTTGCCAGCAGTGTGCAAAGTACGGGATTGCCCTCCTGGACAGAAACCAATTCTATCATGTAAGTGGCCAATTAAGGGTTTCTTTCTGTCTTCTGTTGGCATTTTCCCAAGTTCACAAGGAGACTATAAGGTGAACACTGAGTGAGGGAAGTGTCTCCTGATTAGGTACTCTGCATCCCCCTTAGGGCAATGGCTGTCCCTCTGGCAACAAACCCCTACTCTTAATAGTCACCTTGACTGGCTGCAATCCACTTGTGACTGAGAAGGCACAGTTGTTTGATAATTCTCTCAGGAAAGTTCAATCTCAGCAATGGCCACCAATTCTGGTGGTGCTACTGGAACTGCAGAATTTCCAGTCTTTTCAATGGTTACCAACTTTGGCAGGTGGGCTGTTGTCCATTGAGGGATACAGTCCAGCTAGTGTTTCCCCAAAACAACTTTGGGGGGTGATTGTCCCTGGTTTTCCAGCCTGTCATTGGACCATCCTGTCCTGACAAATTCTAACTTTTCCATGAACTGTTTATAAGGTGAAGTTCTGATGACCTATTTCAGTGTTACTGGTAGGGGGATAAAAACAAACACACAAATAAATAATAACAAAAGAGAGATAAATATTGGCCAGGACACTGGGAAGAATTAAACTACTCTTTGAATAGTTTCAAAGGATGCATTTGAGGGGACAGATGGGGCCTTGGTTTAAGAAAAAGCCTTTCTAACAATGCAGCATTCTTTCAGTACTGCCCTGAAGTGCCAGCCTTGATTATGTGCTCAAGACCTTAGAATGAGAATTGTAGAGTGACATTTCTTAAAAATTAAACTGTTTTAATCACCAGCAGTACAGCAGTTCCTACTATCTCTGAGGAAGTTTCTTCTTTGACCAGAACCCTGCAGGATCTCTAGCAGGATAGGCTTTGCGCCCACCAGTTTTGTTTCACAGGCATTACATTTTGGTTAATAAACCCTGTGATTAGGAAGAAGAGTGGCTCGGTATTGTGAAAGAACAAAGGGACGTGGGAGTATTGATTCACAGAACATTAAAGCAGCAACCTGGTTGAAAAGATTGTGAAAATGAAAACA